TAATATTGTCAGAAAAAATGATAACAAATTATAATTTATAAACTAATTTTTTTATATGTTAGTTTTATCACATTGTTTATCAAAAACAAGTCGTTTAACATACCATTGAAACATACAATTTTACATTATACAAATATTTATCGCTAATTAATTAATTAAATTTAACAATTTTTAAATATATTCAATATATAAAAAAAGAAGATAATATACATATCTATAGATCAACTGCAAAATGTCAATATTATTAGACGTTAGTCCACTTAGAAGCTAAAGAAACTATTACAACTAAAAATAAAATTCTCTTAAAGAAAACTAAAAATAAAATGTGGTTTTATGCCAACACCAAACAAAATGTAACACTAGCAATATCAGTTAAATTTTTAGTTTTTTTTAATAAAAAAAGTAACTATCTGAATTCAAACCATTTTGATAGATATTGTCATTTTTTCAATTTATTTTTCTAAAAATAAATACATTAAGAAGCTATTGAAACGAACCATTCATCCACATGACTGATGCCTTATTATAAATTAATTATTAAATATTAAATTTAAAATTTATGTAATATTGTTTAAAAGAAAAATGAAAATAATTTTAATATATAAATCATAACTTTTTATAAAAATCATACACGAGACATTGATATTATTTATAAATTTAAAAAGACATTGATATATATGTAGTTATTTTTAGAACATATATATCAATGTCTTTTTAAATTTATATTATCTTACGTTATGATGTATGATCAATGACTCGTTATATAACGAGACATATATATCAATACGTATGATCAAAGTCTAACATATATATCAATGACTCGTTAAAGACATTTTTATAAAAATCATACACGAGACATTGATATTATCTTATTAAATTTATTTAAGTTTTATATTATATAAATGTTCTAAAAATTAGAAAAAAGTGAACAACTTGAAAAGTTGTAGAGGGAATTAAAATTTGCGTTTTCATTTTCTTAATTATTTATTTGGAAATGGAAAATGAAGATGGAATAACTCAACGACGAAATATTTTCGTCTTTATAATAAATGTGACTTTTTTTTCTATTTAGGTTGTTTTATAGTGACAATCTTTGAGACAATAATTTTAACATGAAATAAATTCTTCTTTAAATTCTGTCTCTAAGTAGTATCTCTTTATATAATATAAAAATTTGTCAATTGAAGACAGACTTTGAGACGAAAGTATTTGGAGATGAAATTTTGCATCTCTAAATACCATATGTATTTAGCTTAATTTAACTTTGGTCTCTATCTTCAAAATTTTGTCTCTGATTTCATCTTTAACTGAGAAGGAACAATTCTTCTATAAATTTCTTCATTGTTCAACAATTTTTTAGTTTTTGCATTTTTTCAAGGTGTGGCGAACGCCACACTCTCTGTGGCGAACGCCACAGATTCAAATGATGCTGGACTGGGTCTTTGAGCCTTTTGAACGTGGGATTCACTTGCCATGTCACAACCATTTCTGTGGCGAACGCCATGCAAAGCGCCATGAGTACAAAATGTGTATTTTCTTCAGTTTTTTCGTTGATTCGTCCCGTTTCTTTGTGTAATGACTTTCACTTGATTAGTTATCTGAAACATAGATAAAATACCAGCATAACACAAGAAATAAGAGTAAAATGACTATAAAACATGTGTAAGTCGAGTCAAATATTATAGTGTGTTTGGGTGTTATCAAATTCCCCTTTACTTGAACTTTTTCTTGTCCTTTAGCAAAACATGTATTAACAAGAAAAAAACAGTTGTGCTCAGATAATTATTCTAGACTATAAACTTTACTTTGGTCATGGTTGTGTTGATAGGTACTAACTCAAAAAATAATAATATCGTAACAACATATTTCGCAATTGCGGTCATAAGTCTCATTCCTATACAAACTAATCTGCATCAGGTTAATGTGCTTTAGGCCTTACTTACTCATCCTATTTTTCGTCTTTTTTCATTCAGGCGCAATCACATTAAGCATGTTATCTATACACACTCATAGAAGGGTGAACGGTTAGTGACTCTAATCCTTTTTATTTGCACAGGGTTCTGGTACTTAAAGTGGTATAACCCATTTGTTCTCAATTGTAGTTGTGGGGGATCGGACCGTAATCCGCACTACCAAGTTTAGCACCAGAGACCTCTCAACCAACTGACAATGGATTGCTTTTGCAGTTTCCACAACCTTTGGGATATGCGACCGAGTGAAGATCACCTAACTTAGAAGGTACATTTCCTATTTTAATTTTTCAAAAACTAGGACCATTCACTTATATTCATCGGCTTCCCTACGTAGAGAAGACTTGAGATGATGCTAACTGCTAAGATAAACTACTTAAGGACTTATTTAGAGGTGAGAATTCAAGGTCATGTCATAATAATTATGCATATCGATTTCTATAATTTGGAGACTTACGATGTTAAGATGATACCGATCTTTTAGGCATTTTCCCAAGTCTCTACAACCTATCCCTAACTTGTCTAATAGCTTAGAATTTCAAAATTTGCATTGTTTTCTCTTTTTTTTTCTCTTTTTTTTTGTATGGCTCAAGAAAAGAAAAAATACGACAAATAGTAGAAATCACGCATAAAGACTCAACAACACATGCAATGACTCAGCAGCTAAACTAAAACTAGAAAAAAGAAATCCTAAGCAATTATACTAAAAAACAATAAATCTAACTAAAAAGCAAGGATAAGGAAACTGTAAAGTTACTCTCACACAGTTAAACCAAACATTATCCGCAATGTTTTGATCAAAGGTAAAAAAAATGAAAAGTAGAACCTAGATTTTGCTAATGCGGGCCTCCGTGACCATCACCTCCCTGATCCTGATCCGAGTGGTCATGTCTCTGACGATGGCTTCTGCTTCGGCTTCTGGAGGATTGAGCTAAGGTTAGTTGTCTAACTTGTTCAGTCAAAGTAGCATTTGACTCCCTTAGACTGTGTTAGTTACCCAACATGGAGGCTGGTTAGCTTGCACAAGGTTGACATTAATCATTAGTTGACCATATGCATCTAGTTGGTGTTGTGTTTGAGCGACCAGTGTTAGTTGGACTTCCAACACCGATTGTATGGATTGTTGTGTCTAAGCATGTGACTCTTGTATAAACTCCATTATTTCCTACTGATGCTCATACATGGCATACAACAAGGAGTCACACTCATTCTGGGGGAACTCTTCGGCATAGGTCTAGTATACAGAGGAAGTACCTATAAAATGATTAATAAAATTTGGTGCAGTTTATGCATGTGGTACATAATCACGTGGAGGTGGTGAGTTGGGAACGAGTAACCATCATTGAGACATAATTATTTGGATACAGAATAAATTCTTCTCTAAGTTCCGTCTCCAAGTAGTATTTGTTTATATAATATAAAAATTTATCAATGGGAGACAGACTCTAAAGCGAAAGTATTTGGAGACGGAATTTTACATCTCTAAATACCGTATGTATTTAGCCTAATTTCACTTTGGTCTCTATCTTCAAAATTTTGTCTCTGATTGCATCTCTAACAAAGAATGAACAATTCTTCTCAAAATTCGGTCATTGTTCAACAATTTTCTAGTTGTGATTGCGGCGTATTGATGACAAACATTAATAGATTTTAAGATAAGTTGACGTCACAATAATATGTCAGAACTTTGATGCCAAGTTTTCAGACCATACATAAACCATAATATAGTGTCATCAGCGCAATACAAAAGATATTAGAATAATCAATATTATCCACAAAGCCGTGAATCCAACCAATTTATTGTTAATTTTAAAAAGCTATAATTTTAATAAATTTTTTTAAAAAATTATTCAAAAATAACATAAAATTTTCGAACTTATTTATTATAAATAAATTAAAAGAGTAATATTGACATTAACTAATTTGATACTTTAAATAAATAAAAAACAATAACATCATAGAAACACTAAACAAAAAAAAAAAGTTTTATGTAATATATTTCCACGGATTGCAGAAAATTTCTCCCTTTTACTTGGAGATAATTAAGTAAATGTGGTTGAGAGTATTGCCACTTCACCTCCTTGAACATAAGACTCAGAAAACAAATCACACCCACAAAACTCTAACTTCATAATCGACGTCTCTCACTTCAAAACCGTTTAATAAAAACATCACAAAATCGTTTCGTTTTTAAGCAATGAAATTTCCCATTTTACATAGATATATGTTTAACATATATTGCATATTTTATATATATATTTTATGATACTAAACCTTTCTCTTATTAGAAGACGATGGTGATTCAATTGTGGAGGACACATAACATATGTACTATACTGTTTGTTTCCAGTATTTGTGTATTTTAATGTTCTTTTGAACTGTTTCTTTATAATTGTATATACTATATTGCTTCCAAACTCTGTCATGGTTTATATAGATGAATATAATTGTATAACTTTTGTTTAGTTGCCTAACACTACTAGATGTCACAACTTTGGACAAATTTCTTTCGCTTGTTTCAATATAATAAATTCGGACATGTAATTATGGTTTACATAATGTTGATCAGGTTGATATTAATCGAGTTTGCTTATTGATTAGTGGTTTTGTTATGTTTTGATTTATTTTAAATGCATACCAATTTTTTAAGGTTTAATAAGATATTATAAGTTTATTCTATTTAATATATATGCTTGTGTTTTATTTTTATTTCATTTTCTCTTATCTTCTCTTCTCCTTAGTCCAAATCTGTGGTGCTTGTGTGATGCTACTATTTCTCCGGATGTTGTTTTCATTGATGACCAGCATGTTTCTTTTACTTTCGAGAGTTTTGGAAAGCGTTTGGGGATAGCTATCGTGTATGCTTCAACCTGCTATCTTGCTAGAAGAGAGTTGTGGAAAAATATTCAAATTACCTTTAAGACAACATAAGATGCATTGGTGCTGCATTGGAGACTTTAACACTATTTTAGGAACTCACAAATACAGTGGATATTGGATCAGGCTCAGTGTAGTTTGGATCAGGCTCTTATGATTGAAGAAGTCTATTGGAAGGAAAAGGCTTATGTTCAATGGCATACAAATGGCGATAGGAATACAAAGTTTTTCCACCGAATGGCTAAAATTCGAAATACTACCCAATCTTTGCATTCCTTGAAAATTGGCAACAATATTGTAACTAAGAAGGAGGACATCGTTGACCATGTGGTGCAGCACTATTCTGATTTATTTAACACGGTTTCTATTTTGCAGGATAGCAATCTGGTGGAGCAGGTTATTCCAAGTTTGGTTAGTGAGCAAAACAACAAGATCTTAACTATGATTCCCTTAGAAGATGAAATTAGCATCGTTGTTTTTTGGTCCTATTTTTTTCCAGACTTTTTGGAGTGTTATCAAAGAGGACGTCATTAAAGAAACTCTCCAATTTTTCCCATTCTTTGTACACCGATGATATCATGATTTTTACTAAAGGCTGCACCAACACTTTAGATGCTCTTGCTGATCTTTTCACGAGGTATGCTGCCTGCTCCGGCCAGACTTGCAATCCGTCTAAATCAGTTTTATATGCTTTTTTTTTCTCTCTAGACACAACTTTCTAGCTGACAGGATTGGTTTCTTAGTGGGGAACTTGCCTTTCTGTTATCTGGGCGTCTCTATTTTCAAAGGGAGGCCAAAAGCTATTCATTTTCTCCCTATTGTTGACAAGATAGAGAGTAAGCTTGCCGCTTGGAAGGCGAGTCTCTTATCCATTGCTGGTAGAATTCAGTTGGTTAGAAGTGTCATTCAAAGTATGCTTCTCTACTCTATTAGAATTTATTCTTGGCCTACTAGTCTCATTCATATGGTTGAAAAATGGTGTAGAAATTTTATTTGGAGTGCTGACATTCAGAGTAGGAAATTGGTGACTGTTGCTTGGAAGCAGTGTTGTAATAATTACATTAATGGAGGCGTGGGTTTACAATTTCTTCGTACCATTAATGAAGAAACTAATATTGAGTAATGTTGGTCTATCTTTAATGCGGACGATAGTTGGAGTGCTATTTTGAAAGCTCGAGTTTTCGAATTTTTTTTTGGAATAATTATGTATTAAAAAAAATCGTAAATAATCATGTTTCGGAAAAAATTACGCAAATAACCATGTTTCAGATGACTTCCCAAAGGAGGAGCCATCTCACTTGGCGCCTACACCTACCTTTTAAGGAGAGGCGCCATCTCACTTGGCGCCTAGGTGCTTATGACTTGCCCTAAGCCAAGTGAGATGGCGCCTTAGTGCATTTGCTAGGGCAATTTTCGCGTTTTTTTTCCAATGAGGTGCGTTACGTATTCGATATAGGATCAACAAAATTGACTTTTTATTTACAAAATATGATTACACACATAAGTATTACATAAAAAAACAGATTAATCACTGGTCCCCCGGTTCCGCATCCCCGTCCTCGCCTTTCCCGTACTGGGTTTCGCCGCGTTTCTTGTTGTGGCAAGGTCGATGGTCCAGCAAAGTCAATGCATTCCAGATCCATGAAATCAGTCAGATCTCCATATCTAGAAGATCCGCTTTGGTACAGTCAGTTACCCATACCCTCAAAGTTTGGTCGTGTTGGCGGTGGATGGGGTTCCATGGTTGGTCTGTAGCATTGGTCGTCTGAGTACGGGAGGTAGAAAGGAAATGGATCTTGGAGTGTTTGGTATTGAGGATGTTGGGTGGTTTGGTGATACTGTGGTTGATGGTAAGTTGGGTCGGTTGATTCATAATCTTCCGACATTCCCAGATCAGGGCTAAGGTTGGATGTTGAGGAGCCCATATTGGGATATGCAGAAGACTGAAATTGTGTGTGGGGTATGCGGGTGTGTTGGTATTGTGATTGAAATTGCGGTTGGGTGTGAGGCATATGAGGGTATTGGTACTAAGGTGGTGATTGTGGTTGGTTGTGGGGCATGTGGGTGTAATTGTATTGTGGTGGCGACTGTGGTTGGGTGTTTGTGGTTCTGTTTCGTCTTGGGGGTTGGTGGGAGGTTGATGTGTATTGGGTTTGTTGTTGGGGAAATGAGGGTTATGCCCATTGTGTTCGTGGGTCAACCAAATACCTTGGATAAGACACATGCATTTCAGGGTTATTAACCGATCTGTACCAAGATAAATATTGATCCGTGTGTCGCATATTACCATGATTGAGGAAAACCGGGAATTGCAAGACATGTCGGTGACGCCTCTGCCACATCTTACACTATTATGGAGCAAAGTCTTTCCAGTTGGTAAGACCCCATTGGGCGTCGACACTTTTGAGATGCCACAGGGACAAACAAGTCGGATCGCTGGGTATCTCTTGATGCATTCCGAACTGCATCTTCACACGGTCGTTGTGGTGCATCTCCATAACATTGAACCGTATGATTGCAGTCTTGGCGCTCCAAATTGCTGCATCCTCGGGGTTTGATTTATGGCCCAAACCCAAATATAGTCTCCAGACAAACTGCGCATAAAATTAAATCAGGTTAATGAAAACGTAATATATAAATAATTTAAAAGTAGAAAAGTTGAAAGGTACGACGTACATCATCCGGGCCTAGGTGATCCAATAGATTGCGGTATAGTGCGACATTGAATCTTGGATTCTTGCCGTAATCCATACCCCTCACGCAATACTTAAAGGAAATGAAAAATATTTTATTTTTATCATATATTTGGTAAAGAGATGAATAGTAATAAATGATATAACTTGATGACTTACTTTGTTGCGTACGGGAAAATGAATGTGTTATTGTTGACGGGGTTTAGGGACTCCATCCTCCACCAACCCCAGGCTTGAAGTAAAAAAGCGCAGTCATAAAATGTGTATTTTTCCTTGATTGCATTTTTACACAAGGAACTGTATAGGTGGGCTAAAACAGCAGAATCCCAACTATACTTTCTAGTTTTTTTGAAGTCTCTAAGTAAATTTAAATACATAAAATTTATACTATTTCCCGTACTTTCGGAAAATAAAAAGGTTCCAAATAGTATAATTATATAAGTTCTAGCTTTTATTACCTTGGCTTGCTCGGAGGAATTTTCGTTTAATTCCAAAGTCGCATAATGATTTTTAAGCTCAGTTAGTAGTATACCCTGACCTCTCGCACCACCACCTTCAACCATATCCCTGCCCAACAATTCTTCACACAGAGAATTGGGTTGTTGAACTGACCCGTTAACGGCCTTACCATCGACAGGGAGACCCAGTAACATGTACACGTCCTCTAGCGTGACGGTACATTCACCTATTGGTAGGTGAAATGTATGGGTCTCTGGTATCCACCTTTCCAACATTGCAAGTATATACTTTGAATCAATTGTGCAGTTGGAGATCTTTATAACATGTCTGAAACCTGCGTATTCCATATATGGTACGATCAATGGGTCGGGAGCAAGGTAGTTGTGAGACCATATTCTGAATCTTTTGGTATCCTGAGTTAATAATGTAAAAGGTGTAAGATTAAGTAAGATGAACAAAGCATTACCAGAAGTACGAAAAATGTATAACTATAAAAGAAACTTATAAATGCTGCAATATTGTCCCTTGTGCCTCTGTGAGAATTGCCCATTGTGAGAAGAGCCATTGTTGAAAATGCCTGAGATTATGAAAGACTTTGAAATTGTAAGAGATTATGAAAGAGTTTGTAGCAGAGAGTGAGACGATTGTGGGTGCGAGAGAAGTATGTTATGCTCTGTATTTACAGGCAAAAAAATTTCATAGAGTAAGTGAGGTGGTAGGTGGGTGCATGCATGCATGATAAGTGTCACTCTTGCAGAGTAGGCGCAGACTAGGTGGCAGCCTTGGAGAAGGCATCTCTGCATGCATGTAACACGATTGGACATGAAGGGAGGCGCCATTGGACTTGGCGAAAGAGTACAAAAATGAAAGGTTTTGCCATCCCCATTGGCGAATAAGAGGTGGCATGGTTTGCAGAGTAGGCGCAGGTTAGGTGACAGCCTTGGAGAAGGCATCCCTGAATGCATGTAACACTATTGAACATGATGGGAGGAGCCTTAGAGGTTACAATGTAGGTGTAGAGTAGGTGCATGCTAGGTGGCAGCCTTGGAGAAGGCATCTCTGCATGCATGTAACACGATTGGACATGAAGGGAGGCGCAATTGGACTTGGCGAAAGAGTACAAAAATGAAAGGTGTCGCCATCCCCATTGGCGAATAAGAGGTGGCATTGGTTGCAGAGTAGGCGCATGATAGGTGACAGCCTTGGAGAAGGCATCCCTGAATACATGTAACACTATTGGACGTGATGGGAGGAGCCTTAGAGGTTACAGTGTAGGTGCAGAGTAGGCGCAAACTAGGTGGCAGCCTTGGAGAAGGCATCTCTGCATGCATGTAACATGATTGGACATGAAAGGAGGCATCGTTGGACTTGGCGAAAGAATACAAAAATGAAAGGTGTCACCATCCTCATTGGCGAATAAGAGGTGGCATGGGTTGCAGAGTAGGCGCAGGCTAGGTGACAGCCTTGGAGAAGGCATCCCTGAATACATGTAACACTATTGGACATGATGGGAGGAGCCTTAGCGGTTACAAGCTTAGTTAATTCAAATTCAGTATGACCTATTTAGTCTTACATTTATCAAAACACTGATTCACTTAATCTCTCAAACACTAGAACATTCAAAAATTCCTGCAAATAACTCATAAACTTCAAACCTTCCAACCTTCAAACCTTCAAACCTTCAAACAGTCATACGCAATGGCCTTTGCACCCCAATATGTCATCAGTGCACATTTCAGCGGTGAGACATACATTTGTCCCACCTCTGGGTTTTTGTTTAGAGACACAGACAACATCCAATTTTGTTTAAATAGGAAAGCCAATTTCTTGTACTTCAAAAAATGATTGGAGGCCAAACTTGGACGAGGCCCGATGACACAAATATTTTATCAGAATCCGGTTTTTTTTTGTAACAACCAAATAATATTTTATAAGGTTGAGGTTCAAGATGACGAGGATCTTCAGAATATGTTTTCCAGTCATGAGTATTCTGGGTACGACTCTATTGAGTTGTACATTATGCTGCGAGAGCCTTAGGTGACACAAGTGGTTGATCTTTTGGAGACCGAACAAGCAGAAGTAGATGCAGTTGATGAAGAAGAAGAAGATGATGAGTTGGAGTTTGACGAAATGGTCAATGATGATTCTGAAGACGATGGGATACCTGGTATTCCTGGAAATGAGATCTACACACCACCTCCGCACATGACAAACTTCAACATGGGCGGAGATGAACCGTCTTCTGATTTATTTTTCAATCCGTATATGCAGTCGGATGAAAACTTAAAAGAGAAATACAAAATTCGTAACAGAGAAGAATGTATCAGAGCCATAAAAAAATTCCACATGCTCAACTCGGTCGATTTTAAGGTGGACCATGTA